GTGTGTGTGTGTGTGTGTGTGTTTAAATAGGAGATGGCAAGAGACCCTCTAAGTGGGTTTTTAGCTCTTAACAGATTTCCAGGGAAGAAGGGGGTGATTTGCCTCTTGCAGTCAAGGGGTTCTTTGAAGTCGGTCTTCCCCCGCATCTCCCGGGGGTTGGTGGGTCTCCTGCTGCGGCAGCAACACAGACCTTGTGCCAGATGCTGAGATCGAGGCTCCGGGACTGGATGGAGCTTTGATGCATCCACTTGATCGCAGAGGGAGCCCCAGGAAAGCAGATGAAAGGCGCAACACAGCAGTTCCGTGGCTGTCAGCTGCTCGCGGGGAGGATGCCGAGAGCCAGGAATTTAACCGGGACGTTGATGCCTGGAAGCTTCTCTCGACCTTGAGGCTGTGGCGAAAAGGGAGGGGTTGCATATCTGCAAAGGGAAAAATACCAGGTGAAAATCCTAGCGGTTGAGGGCTTGGCCAGAACTCTCCTCCTCTCAGCCACGGTTCCTGTTTATGGGAGAGGTGCTGGTGAAAAGGCCCATTTGGCCAGAAAAAGCCCTCTCGGCCTGTCTTGAATGGGAAGCGTTTGCAGCTGTTCCTTCTGGGGGAGTCCCTGGGCAGAAGGCCCCAGGAGAGGGGATCCTTTCAGCTGGGGGACGTGTTCCAGCCTTGGGGGATCACTGAAGGAGGAGCCCCGGGTTCCAGCCTCTAGCTCTGGCACTCCCGTTCCACTTTGTTGCAATAAAAGATGCAACATGCGAAACTGCCCCCCCACAACAGCTGCCAACTTGCACCCCCTGTGGCGTTTCACCCTAGGAGGGGTCCCTGCCAAGGGGACGGTATTGCCAAGGGAAAAGGCCCACCTTGCTCTGGCTTCTTGTGCCCCTCTGCCAGCCTCCACCACTCGTGGCCCCCTGCTGAGGGCTGCCACCACCCGAAAGGGTTCAAACGTAGCCTTTCTTCTCCCATAGGGGGCGCTGCTGCAGCCATTTAGTCAGTGGGAGAGCTTGCCTCCTGAAGTCCTGGGTGCTCTGTTGCTGGAGGTGTCCCAAGAAAAGATTGGAGCCCCCCCTGTCTGGGGTGGCATACCTGCCTTGGGAGGGGTTGGATAAGAAGGTCCCTTCTAGCCCTGGGAGTCTATGGGTCGTGGGGGGCAGGCTCGGCTGGGCGTCCGTCCCCCCCCCCCCGGGGCTGTGCCAGTGGAGGGCAAGTGTGGGCAGCTGTCCAGAAGCTCCTTTGCTGGACCAGCTTCTTGGTGTGGAGAATGAGGAGCGCGAGACCAGCCGCCTGCCCTTTTCCCGCCGCGCGAAGGCGTCCAGAGAGCCTTTGTGTTGCTTTGCCCTTGTTTACTCTTTCCCCTGTCATTATTTGTGTAAGAGCCTCCCGAGGGAGCAGGAAAGTGTTTTCATTGACGTGACAAAGGGAGCGCAGGAGGGCAAATTGTGCTTTCTGGTTGTGTTTTAACACAAGCTGTCTTTAAATTCCTGCCTATTTACAAAGCGCCCTTTGCTTCCAAAATTGGCTCTCGGCAAAGCGTTGTGTTTCATGGGAGGATTTCTCCGAAGGAGCCCTGGGTTCCCCTTCAGCCTTTTGTCTTTCTCTTTCTCGGCACCTCCAGAGAGCAGCCAATTGCCGAGTGATATAAAGGAGCTTTCATGGCTGACACGTCAATCAAAGCAAAGTCAGGACTAGCTTCTAAAGCAGAGGCTGCTGCCTCCGGATCTGCCTTGAGTGATCCTGGCACAGGTTCAGGAGAAACCGCAGCATCGCACCCAGCCTTTCCAATCACTAACACTTCATTACGTGCAATAAATACTTTGTTATTATTACAGTGTTCATTAGATTACTTAGTTCGCAGCGAGGCCCTCTGGGTGTAGATGCGGGTGGGAGCCTACGGTGTCCCGTGCAGGGCCAAAGGCAGCGGGGACTTCGGTTATCCCGGCCTTGTTCCCCTTGCGACCTCTCTGGGAATCTGTTAGAAGCAGCCGGAGCGTTTAACGCAACGCCGCCTGGGCCTGTTCCCCTTGTCTGCTCTCGGGCAGGGGCAGAATGAGGCCTTTGTGGGGCGGCCAGACCTCTCCTCCAGCCCCACGGAGGCTCCCCTTCGCTTGGCACCCAAGGTTTCTCTGGGGCCTCAGGGGAGGCTTTGTGGAGGCAGCAGCAGCTAAGGGGAGAGCAGGAGAAGAGCCCCGGGGTCTCCCTTCAGGAATTCCTCAGAGAGCCGGGCCTTTCTGGACAGAGAACTTCCCGACTGGCTCAAATCCTTCTGTCTTCACATTTAACTAAAGCAAACTGTACAGCGCAGGTTTGCTTCAGGATCAGAGCAGGGCTGAGCAGGGAGCCCTTATGCCTTTCTGGGGCTGCTTTCTAGCTCCCTTGCCTTCCCTCCTCCCCCTGGTCAGAAGGCTCAGAGATCCAAACAGATGATTTACGGAGAGATAATTTATCCTGCCCTGGCTGAAGCCTGTGACCTGCTGCCTGGCTTGGTGCCAGGCGGTGAGAAAGAGAGCCTCCCCCAGAAGGCAGAAGGTGGGAGAGGAATTGGATTCCGAAAAAGGAGAAGCAACCTCTGCCATCTCCTCTCGTTCCCTTCCAATAAACATTCATCTCGTTTTCTGTGAAAGTGGGTTGAGCAAAAACTTGACATTCCTCCCAGCTCCTCCCTCCATATTTGACTCTTCTTGGAGAAAGTTATGAAACCCCCCCCCCCTTCAATTGATTCTCTTTCCTCTCTTCCTGTGCTTTCTGCTGGGGTGGCGGGAGGATGCTGGCATTCGAGGGACAGTCGCCAGCAGAAGATTATTCTGGGTCTATTTCTCAAATCCCCACTTGGAAAAAAAAAGTTTATTGTTTTCCTTCCCTTCTTGCCAGAAATGCCATTTGTCCTCAGCTTCTGCTGCAGAGTAATGCCTTTTGATGTCAAGAGTGGAGAAGGGAAGAAGGGAGGGAGAGATTATTAAGGGGGGAAAAAATAGGAAACTGGAGCCTGTCATATTTTGTTAGATTCCCGAGGCCGGGGAAAGTGTTTGCTCCTTTGAACGTGCCGTCAGCAGAGCAGGGGTTTAGAAGGGGAGGTCGCCCTCAACGTGGAAGGCAGAACGAAGCGGACAGATGAAGACGTGGTTAAAAGCCAGCCCAGAAACAGTTGGAGGGTGTAGCAAACAGCAAGAGCCCCCATGCAGGAAGGGGTACAGGTGAGCCAGGTGTGGCGGCTGGCGACCCCCTCCAGGTGCATCCAAGCACTCAGCCACCTACCCTGGCAGCCTGTTTATTGCCTCCAGAGCGGCCAAGCCTGGTTCTCTGGAAACCCCCCCTCCCCCCACAGGTCACGATGGCTTGTGTTCCTGCCCGCTTTTTGTCCTGGCCTCCCTGCCCCTGCGCTGACCACCGGATGTGGCTCCATGGTGTTGTTTGCTCTTTAGGCATTTGACTTGAATTGGCTGCTCTCCTCAAGTCTACTCACGGTGCCCCATGCAGGGGAAGGCAACGGTCAGCGTCCCGAGGGAAGGCAGCATCAAGGGGGCTCCACAGGCCAGGCTCCGAGGCCGGGAGTGCGCAGGGGACTGTGCTGGGGGCAGCCCTGCTCAGCTGGATTACTTGTGCCAAGGAGGAGATCCTGAGCTCTCCGCATTAACGGGAAAGCATTCGGAGCAGCCTTTTCCAAACTTGATAACTTTTAAGGTGCGAGGGTTTCCACTTCCAGGACTGCCCAGCCAGCTTTGCTAGAGCAGAGCATCAACCCACCTTGCCCAGCATTGCCAGCCCTCACTGGCAGCAGCTCCCAGCGTTTCTGCAGGAAAGGCTCTTGTTGAGCAGACAAAAGTGAGCTTTGGCAGTGGGGGAAGCAGCCATGCCCGCCTTCGGGCCTTCATTTCCCCCCTGGCATGCCTCTTTGCGCCTGAGCGCCAGAGAAGGCTGGGAGGCCCCCAAGTGTCACCAGTCGTTAAGAAATACATTTGTCAGCAACAGGACGGAAAAGGTTGCCATAACAGAGCCCAGAACGTCTTTTATTTATTCATAGGTTTTCCCTTCTTCCTTCGCTCGCCGAGGGAGGCCAGCGGCAGAGTTGGGGGGCAAATTAGCCGAGCTGAAATATTCATGACGAGGCTCGGGCTGAGAGCCTGCAGAGGCCCCGGTGATCTGGCTGGATGGGGAGAGTCGGCTCTGCCCGTGCCTGTCCCAGGGCAATGGGGAACAAGCCTTGGCTCCACCTGGGGCTTAGTGCCGCCTTGGGGTTTGGCTCCCCGATGACTTGATGTTCCCTCTGCTGGCTCTTCCCCCTCTGGGGCAGAGCCCTGAGCCCAGAGCGCCTTGTGTGATCTCCCACATGGGCAGGAATCTCCTCCGAGCAGCTGGTGAAGCCCCTCTCTCCCTTCCAGGTCTGGGAAGCCCTCCTGAGCCTCCAGGCCCCCCGGGTCAATGTCTTCATGGCAGTGCCAACCATCTACAGCAAACTGATCGCTTACCACGAGGAGCACTTCTCTCAGCCACGCGTCCAGGACTTCATCCGTGCCATCTGCCAGGACCACATCCGGTAGGTGAGCCCCTTTTGTCTCCTTCCGGCAGAGCGGAGCTTCTCTTCCCCCAGCTGCCCCCTTCTTTGACCCAGGGAGCCCCCTCCCCACCTTGGGGGCAGCCTGAACTTCTCTACGCATTTCAGAGAATGCTTAGCGCATCCTGGTCCAGCTGGAGGCTGGGATATCCCCCCACTCCCATCCCCACAAGAAGTGGGTTCAATCCAGCCTAGGAAAAGCTCTGGCTTTCAACCCAAAGGGCTTAGGACCCGGGTGGGGTTGGGCTGCCTCCTCCTCCTCCTCCTCCTCTCATCGGCCCGTCCCTGGAGATTGTTCCTTCCGGCCTCTTCCTTGGCAAGCACCCTGAACCGCCTGCCTGGTGTCATTACTGCTGTCTTCCAGGGCGAGGCTCTTCAACACGGTTAACATTGATATTTTCAACTGAGAGCTTTTTATGGTCAATTTCGGAGTTGTGGGAATGAATGGGAAACAGATCTCGGGTTAGAGGGGGCCATGCAGGGGGGGGGGAGCCTTGGGGCTCAGGAAGTGATGCTTTACCCCTCTCCAAGGCCGTTGGGACCTCCTCCCAAGATGCTTTGGGGAGGGAGATGATTTTGGCACACACACACACCCGCAAAGCAATAGCTGCCACGCAGGGGTCTTGTTTCCAAGGCCCCCCCAGGCTTCAGAGGCCCAGCAGCTTTCCATCCGGGTAGTGAGGGGGTTTCTCCTGGAAGACGGAGCTGGTCCTCGGCCTGCCCTGCTGACTCTGAGCACAGATTTCCCCAGGCTCGCCGCCTCCTTCCTTGCTCAGCACCATCTGTCGCATCTCTGGGGCTGCCACTCCGGATTGCAGGATGGGAATGCAGAGCAGCCCGTTGTCTGTTCTCTGGCAGGAGTCCAGGCCTCGCACCGATGTTCCCACCTTGTAAGAGCAAGGCCTGCCCTGTTTCCTCCTCTCGGTACATGGCAGTGGCTGCGGGGCATCTGGCTTCAGGGCAGGCTGGCCTGAGGAGGTGGCGCGCGGCTGTCTCGCGTGGTCCCGGGGGATTGTCCAGAGGCGGTTCCTACGGTTCCACCACAAAATCTCGGAGGACAAAATCGCGCTCAACGAAAGCGCGCATTTGACGTCATCACAGCGCGACGAAAACATCGCGCTGTGATCGAAAAATGTAAAAATAAAGCTAAAACCTTACCCTAACCCCCCCAAACCTAACCCTAAACCTAACTCTAACCCTAACCCTACCTACCCCTAAATCTAACCCTACCCCTAACCCTAACCGTTAACGTAACGCTAAACCTAACGCTAACCCTTAACCTAACGCTAAACCTAACGCTAACC